TATCAGCTAATTTTACCAAACACTTTATCATATAAGCTAGCTTATCATCTATAAGTCATAAGCTATAAACTATAAGCTAAAAAATTACTAATAAGCTATAAGCTAGCTTACCAGTTATCAGCTAGCTTATCAGCTAATTTTACCACACATAATCATAATGTGTTGATTATGTTAGAACGAGAAACATATGAATTGAAGTTGAGTTTTCAATTTTTACAATTCGAACTAATATAAAACAGTAACAAATTTGCAATTAAAGGCAGATAGATAGCAGATAGATTAGCTGAGGCGACTGAAATCTTTCCGCAGGACAAATACGGCCAGTGTAGTGCTGACTGATCTTTGTGTAATGTCTCAAAAATATAACGGCTATTCACTCGGAAGAAGCTATAACACACCAGTCTTCAGAGTTCCAACGAACAAAAACAGAGGTTCGAACCGATTATATGTATGCGCGTGGAGCTCACTAACTAATAAATAAATTGAAAAAAAAAAAACCATATATCTTAATGGGTTCATTTTCAACATTCCAAGTTCCAACCGATTTCCATGATCATCAATTTAATTCTATGTAAGTTAAAAACTTTTTTCACCCCTATACACTTACAAATATACAGATGTTACGGAGATGTATAAAGTATACAAATTCATGCACTAATACACATACATAATAATGAGGTTTTATTTCACGCGACGGCGCACGATCCACGAAACACCCAATCAATCCCCAATCCATTCTATTTCATACATTTTTTTTTTATTTTTTTTTTTGCAAAAAATATGACTACCTAATTTTTTTTTTTTTTGAATCACAATAACCTTACTTAGTATAAATTCAATATACTATTATCATTGAAATTTGAAAATGATAAGGTCCCGTCAATAAACCATTACGTCGTAATTTATAATCGTTAGATCATCGTGTAATCGTTAAAAATAATTGATCTAACGACTACAAACTTCGATGGAATGGTTATGTAACGGGACCATAGCATCTATAATTATGTCCCCTTGTACTGTCTTCAAATTTCTACACACACTCACACAGTACTGAATCTTTTTTCTTTTTCTTTTCTCCTGTTTACGAGTTTCTCCATATAGGTGACAAATGCAAAATTACCCTGCACTTAACATGGCCAATTGCCCATATTCAGATTTCTTCACGCTGACGCCCCAAATTTCACCTTCGCATAATCATCTCAGGTATATATAGGAACACGACTTGCAATATACATCTGATAATTTTAGTTTAATCTGATTTTTTTCTTACATTAATCACCATTTTTTTTGCTGATTCTTGTTTCCTCTGTGTGTTTTGTGTGTTGTTTTTGGGCATAAAAAAAAAAATGAATAAAACAGTGATTATGATCATCATCTTCACGACCCTGTTGCCTGCGTTGATGTTTTCCTCAGCGACCCTTTTTACACCTCTTTCGTTCCAGGTAAAAACACAAGCTCCATCTTAATAATGTCGAAAATAAAAACCAATTTTTTTTTTTTATTTTTTTCAAGATTTTCTTGGTGGGTTTTGATCTGAAGGTGGTCTTGCCTGCAATTCGGGGGGTGAAATCGACGGCAGAGACGAAATAAGCCAAGACTTTATGGCCCAGAGCCAAAAGCGCGAGGAGCCCATCGCCGGAGATTGGAGGGGACACCACTCGCCGGCGCCGGAAAACGGGAAACAGAGTAAAAGATCGAATATTGCTGCCGGTAATCACGGGGCACGAGGCAATTCCTGTTCCCAGAAGTTATCGAGAAAGGCCATCTCCCAGTACTTCTACATGCCGATAGCGAATGCGGCGAAGGAGATGAACGTCGGCGTCACCCTTTTGAAGAAAAGGTGCCGGGAGCTTGGGATTCGCCGGTGGCCCCACCGGAAACTGATGAGCCTGCAAACCCTGATCAACAATGTCCAGGTTCTCTCTCTCTCTCTCAACAAGTCCTAATCTGTGATGCAGTGTGTGTCTATTGAATTAATAATCTCTTAAAGTTCAAATATTTAATCCTAATTAGATCTTCTTGAGACATTGGATTGATTTTTTATTTTTTTTTATTAAGAGCCCTAATTGGTTATATAGTTATAGTTAGCATTGATAATTTGGTGTTAAGTTATAGTACTTTTTATTGGATTGGTTATGTTGCTTTCTTTTTCTACGAATATCTTAAAAAAAAATCTAAGAAAAACTTAAAGTTGAATGCTCGCAATTGAAAGGCATTTTGCTTTGTGCGGTTAATCACCACTTTAGCCCGCCAGCCGAGGGCTTATTCCTAACCGAGTCGAGCTTTTCTTGAGACAAAGGACTGATTTTTGTTTAAGAGCCCTAATTGGTGATTAGTGCTTGTTGGCATTGTTGATTAGGTGATTAATAAATGTTTGTTTTTAGTAAATTGGTTATATATATTTAGATATATATTAATTTTACATTATAATATGGATCCAAAAAGAGGACGCTATAGCTTTATAGGGTGACAGCAAAAAGCAACACATTGTGTTTGTGCACTCTGTGCCAGATTTCAGGAGCACTCATAACAAACTGTACAACTCTAATCAGGATTCTGACACGTGTAACAAATCTGAGGCAGCACACGTTTAGTGTTGCTCGAAATAAAAAAAAAAAAAAAAAAAAAAAGATATGAAAATGATTTTTCACATTAAAAAAATTGGATTGAGATTGTATGGATCGGTTTGATATGTTTCGACTTAGTTTTGTTCACCCTTAAGTCTATGGGATACATGGATTAGACATGTCTTGTCGTTTTCGAGCCTGATTTGACTGGTCCACGATCATAGAATTTATAATTAGAATTGGTTCGGGTATATGAAGTTGTCGATTCAAAAACCTGTCGGGACATTTTCAAGCTTTTAAAAAAAATAAAATAAAAATATTATTTTGTCACACGGACATGTCGGGTCTGTTGAAACGCAGTGTTGAGCGAATCTCGACCATTGATATTTCAACTGTTATACAATCCAACAGTCGAGATGACATCTTTTATCATCTACCAACTCGC